CTATAGTACCCAAAGCAATCTACAGATTCAATGCAATCCCTATCAAGCTACCAACGGCAGCTTTCAGAGAACTAGAGCAAATAATTTCACAATTTGTATGGAAATGCAAAACACCTCGAATAGCCAAAGGAATCTTGAGAAAGAAGAATGGAACTGGAGGAATCAACCTGCCTGACTTCACACTATACCACAAAGCCACAGTCATCAAGACAGTATGGTACTGGCACAAAGACAGAAATATAGATTAATGGAACAGAACAGAAAGCCCAGAGATAAATCCACGAACCTATGGTCACCTTATCTTCGACAAACGAGGCAAGGATATACAGTGGAAAAAAAGACAACCTCTTTAACAAGCGGTGCTGGGAAAACTGGTCAGCCACCTGGAAAAGAATGAAACGAGAACACTTTCTAACACCATACACATAAATAAACTCAAAATGGATTAAAGATCTAAATGTTAAGACCAGAAACCATAAAACTCCTAGAGGAGAACACAGGCAAAACACTCTCCGACATACATCAGAGCAGGATCCCAGAGTATTAGAAACAAAAGCGAAAATTAACAAACGGGACCTAATGAAACTTAAAAGCTTTTGCACGACAAAGAAACTATAAGCGAGGTGAAAGGACAGCCCTCAGATTGGGAGAAAATAACAGCAAACGAAGCAACACACAAAGGATTAATCTCAAACATATACAAGCAACTCCTCCAGCTCAACTCCAGAAAATAAATGACCCAATCAAAAAATGGGCCAAAGAGCTAACCAGACATTTCTCCAAGAAGACATACAGATGGCTAAAAGACACATGAAAAGATGCTCAACATCACTCATTATCCGAGAAATGCAAATCAAAACCACAATGAGGTACCATTACACGCCAGTCAGGATGGCTGCTATCCAAATGGTCTACAAGCAATAAATGCTGGAGAGGGTGTGGAGAAAAGGGAACCCTCTTACCCTGTTGGTGGGAATGCAAACTAGTACAGCCACTATGGAAAACAGTGTGGAGATTTCTTAAAAAACTGGAAAAAGAACTGCCCTAAGATCCAGCAATCCCACTTCTGGGCATACACGCCGAGGAAACCAGATCTGAAAGAGACACGTGCACCCCAATGTTCATCGCAGCACCGTTTATAATAGGCAGGACATGGAAGTAACCTAGATGCCCGTCAGCAGACGAATGGATAAGGCAGCTGTGGTACATATACACCATGGAATCTTACTCAGCCATTAAAAAGAATTCATTTGAATCAGTTCTAAAGAGATGGATGAAACTGGAGCCCGTTATACAGACTGAAGTAAGCCAGGAAGATAAAGACCATTAGAGGATACTAACACATATACACGGAATTGAGAAAGATGGTAACGATAACCCTATTTGCAAAACAGAAAAAGGCACACAGATGTATAGAACAGACTTTTGGACTCTGTGGGAGAAGGCGCGGGTGGGATGTTTCAAGAGAACAGCATCGAAACATGTATATATAATCTAGGGTGAAAGAGATCACCAGCCCAGGTTGGATGCAGGAGACAAGTGCTCGGACCTGGTGCACTGGGAAGAGCCAAAGGGATCGGGTCGAGACGGAGGTGGGAGGGGGGATCGGGATGGGAAATACATGTAAATCCATGGCTAATTCATGTCAATGTATGACAAAAAAAATTGTAAAGTCATTAGCCTCCAACTAATAAAAATAAATGAAAAAAAAAACAACAGGGATTCATTGAGCTGCATGGGAGATGAATTCTGTCATTAGAAACTTTGCCACCAGGCTTAAGAAATATATTTAGAACTCATTTCTTTCCGGAAACAGGTTTCAAGATCTCCATAAGAAGTCTTTTATTAAGATAAATCACAGCTTTGTCAGTTTCTCCAGAAGTACCCTCTTTTTAATTCCCAAGGAGAATGGCAATAATAAAACTAAATTAACCGAGTAAGTTATTTTCTCTCTAATGGCCCCTGTCTTGATTAAGAGGATTCCGGTCGACGTATTTCCTGGGCTTCCCTGGTGGCTCAGGTGGTAAAGAATCTGTCTGCAATGCAGGAGACCTGGGTTTCATGCCTGGGTTGAGAAGATCGCCTGCAGAAGGGAATGGCCACCTCTTCCAGTATTCTTGCCTAGAGAATTCCACGTACAGAGGAACTGGGAAGGCCACAGTCCATGGAGTCACAAAGAGTCAGACACCGCTGAGCAACTAATACACATATTTTCTTACCATTTGCTTAGCAGAAGCAATCATTCATAGCATTTTATAGCACTTTCTAAAGAACATTTTGTGCCTTTTTTCTCTTTTGTAAGCTGCACCAGGTCTTGGTTGCCACACATGGGATCTTTCATTGTGGCGTGCAAACTCTTCCTTGCAGTGAATGGGATCTAGTTCACTGACCAGAGATTGAACCCAGGCCCCTGCATTGGGAGCAGCCACTGGATCGCCAGGGAAGCCCTCTAAAGAACTCTTAAAGTGAAACTTTTTGAATGTTCGCAGCAACTCTGGGCAGTCCTAGTGATGATACTTGTTCTGCACTCTTGAGCCCGTGACCTCCCTGAGGGACACAGGGGCCAAGCGAGCAGATGCTACCCCAGCGCCAGACCACAGGGCCAGACTGGCAGTGTAAACTCCCTTCCAGTGATGTCCTCTTTTTACTGTTCCTCTGGTCAATTCAGTACTGTTTTCCTTGGAGCATGTGTTTAAAAGGAAATCCTAGATGTGTTCAAACATTACTGCCCACTTTCAGATGGATTGATATCTACCTAGGACTTGGCTATTAAACCCACCTGCCTGAGTACTGTGACTTGATTGGAGTTTTCTTGAAGTCACTCCTGAAGCACTGTGATGGCTTTGTCTAACATTAATAGATTTTTAAAAATGATATGTGTTGGGGAATGGCTATGAAAAAAGGGGAGAATCTGTTGCTACTGCAAACCAATTAAGGAGGCAACTTAAAAAGGAAATCTGAATTGTAACTATGTTTCTATTCCTATAAAATATGTCCTTACCTTGCAGTCTGTAGTTGATGTGCCCAGACACAGTAGTGGCTCTCGGGTTGCTCTTCTGCCATCTTCCTGTCTCCTTCAGTCCCTGCATGCGTATAGGAACTTCAGTGAGATAATGGGGCATTTAACAGAGATTGTTCTGTGCAATACTGTATTTAGTGTTTCTATTTTAAAGTTTCTAGGATGTTAATTTACATGCAAATAAAATACATAATAAGAGAGTTCTCTGCCTATTGTGTCTATATGACCTAAAAGTAAATGCAAAATATTTATCCCAGAGGGAAAATAAGTTAGAGCGTCTGTGTTCAAAGATTTTCGAAAGTTCTTATCTCAGGCCGAACCGTTGCTGGTGAACAGTGAAAGTCGCTCTGTCATGTCTGACTCTGCAAACGCATGGACTGTACAGTCCATGGAATTCCCCAGGCCAGAATACTAGAGTGGGTAGCCGTTTCCCTTCTCCAGGGGGTCTTTGCAACCCAGGGATCGAACCCAGGTCTCCTGCACTGCAGGTGGATTCCTCACCAGCTGAGCCACCAGGGAAGCCTGAACAGTTCTTGGCAGTTAAGGATTTAACAAATGCTAGAGTGTAAAGACAAAATAATAATTCTGCTACAGTAAAACACACTTTCTTAAGTGCAAATCTTCTCAATGCAGTTTTAGGGAAGAAGTATTTCCCCCTTATGGAAATATCAGTATGTTAATACCTAAGAAGTCCTTTTACGAAAAGTTGCAAAAATTCATATGATGTAGATTAAATGGTGATAAAAATTGAGTTGATCTCAGTGAGGCAGCAGTGAGTGGTGGCGTGAAGTGAGATCTAATTCGCTGCCCAGGAACTGAACCTGGGTAGCCTGAACGAAAACCAGGAATCCTAGCCACCAGACCAGCAAGGGCTAGAGGCTAGAAGCCAAGTTTCCCTGGATCTTTGACCAGTGAAAAATGCATTCATCATGGAGGCAGAATCGCTACATGCAGGTACAACGTTTATTATCAGAGACACAGCACAGCAACACGTGGGAAAGAACACGGAGGAACAGCTGGTCTAGTTCCGACAGAAGCAAAGCAGAGACACACACCTGGAGAGAAAGGTTATGGGCGCCCCCTGGTGAGAAGGAGCACAATAACCACGAGGTGGTGAAGTCCTTTATATAGGCCAGTTCTTCTGGGTCTTTGTCTTCCTTCCTGCCAAGTTTCTGGTTCCTTTCTTCACATCTGACCTATCCTGGGCCTCTGCCCTGGTGTGCACATACCCCTCAGCCAAGATGGATCTCCAAGTGGAGGCTTCTGGGAGAAGCGAGGCTCATCATGGTCTGGCATTTTCGCGGGACTTTTCACCCACAAGGAGCCTCTCTGCGCCTGTGTAGTGTCTCCCTTCTCCCACAAGGGGGGTGGGGGGAGGGGAGATCTCTTCATCCTTGACTCAAGCAGGGTTTTGTCCCTCTTTGCCCTTGTCATGGCTACTAAAGTGTTCATAAGAGACAGACACTGGCTATTTACCCTCTTTCTGTTGTTACTTCCATTTCACAGGGCAAGCAGGACACTGACTGTAAAGGCTCAACTGGAGCCCAACCATCTCTTGCCTCAAGAAATGTAAACAGGCTAGATGTAAATGCCTAACCTGGAGTCCATCTGTCTCCTCCAGCAACATTATGGGAAGACAAAAGGCGGAAAATTATGCCAATAAGGCACCACATGATGGTGCAAAAAGATGGATATAGACAAGGAAAGAAGGAATAAAAACTAAGCATTATGCTAATGGCAACCATTATGCAAGTTAATGGGGGGTGGGGGGGAACCTAATGGAAAACACTTGCTTTTATGCCATAAACCATCTTTGAGTTCAGGTTGAATTGGATTTTTCACGATAAACTTTTCATCACCTCTGCGTTGGCTTGTCGTCTACTTTGTGCAAAAGCCTGGAGCTCCTAACTACTAGGGGGTCTCCCATCCAAGTACTAACTAACCCTGCTTAGTTTCCCCGATCAGAAGACATCTGGCCCGTTCAGGGTGGTATGATCTTAGATGGAGGCGGTTGCCGCCAGGCACCTTTAAAAACCCTGCGCTGCGCCTCCTTTTCGCTCTGATGTGCCGTGTCGAGCCAGCCGGCCGCACCTTTCCACGGGGCGCGCCGGCCAGGGCCGGCAGCCCGGCCGAAGCCTCCCCGTCCCCGCACACCAGTAACCCTGGCCAGCAAACCTGGCCCGGCCCGGGGGCCCGGAGTGTTTCCGGGACCCCGAGCGGCCGGTCGGGCGTGCATGCCTGGGCTTGGGGTTGGGGTGAGGGGCGCGGAGGTCTCGGCGCCCTCCCGCCCTGGGCCTCTCCAGGCCCGCCCCCTGTCGGCGCCCCCCCTGCCCACTCCCGTTCGTGGCTCAGGGCCACGTGGCCCCGGAGGTGTCTGATTCGGGCCCGCCGCGGACCGCGGCCCTCGGTCCTCTGAGCCTCCCTCGGGCATAGGCGGAGCGCAGCCGGGGCCCTGAGCGCCCATCCTGCCCGGCACCTGCCCGGGGCCCAAACCCAACCGGAGCCACCAGCGCGGTCCACCCGAGTGCCTCAGCCACGCCCCTTCGCCCTACCTCTGCCCCCCTCCTCGCCCCGCCGCTCGCCAAGCACAGCACCTTCCTGAGGTCCTTAAAATTCTTCCTTCAAGAGTTCTAAGTAAATTTAAGACAGCATCTACTGGATTTTCACCAACGGCTCAAAAAACAAACAAACCAGCAGTTACCTTGATCCATCTTGCCTTAATGTGAGCTGTAACAGTAACTTCAGAGCTGCTGCACTCAATGATTTGATTCATTCCGTTGTTGAAAAACAGGGATTCTCAATATTGTCAAAATGGCTATAGTACCCAAAGCAATCTACAGATTCAATGCAATCCCTATCAAGCTACCAACGGCAGCTTTCAGAGAACTAGAGCAAATAATTTCACAATTTGTATGGAAATGCAAAACACCTCGAATAGCCAAAGGAATCTTGAGAAAGAAGAATGGAACTGGAGGAATCAACCTGCCTGACTTCACACTATACCACAAAGCCACAGTCATCAAGACAGTATGGTACTGGCACAAAGACAGAAATATAGATTAATGGAACAGAACAGAAAGCCCAGAGATAAATCCACGAACCTATGGTCACCTTATCTTCGACAAACGAGGCAAGGATATACAGTGGAAAAAAAGACAACCTCTTTAACAAGCGGTGCTGGGAAAACTGGTCAGCCACCTGGAAAAGAATGAAACGAGAACACTTTCTAACACCATACACAGAAATAAACTCAAAATGGATTAAAGATCTAAATGTTAAGACCAGAAACCATAAAACTCCTAGAGGAGAACACAGGCAAAACACTCTCCGACATAAATCACAGCAGGATCCCAGAGGATTAGAAACAAAAGCGAAAATTAACAAATGGGACCTAATGAAACTTAAGAGCTTTTGCACGACAAAGAAACTATAAGTGAGGTGAAAGGACATCCCTCAGATTGGGAGAAAATAACAGCAAACGAAGCAACACACAAAGGATTAATCTCAAACATATACAAGCAACTCCTCCAGCTCAACTCCAGAAAATAAATGACCCAATCAAAAAATGGGCCAAAGAGCTAACCAGACATTTCTCCAAGGAAGACATACAGATGGCTAAAAGACACATGAAAAGATGCTCAACATCACTCATTATCCGAGAAATGCAAATCAAAACCACAATGAGGTACCATTACACGCCAGTCAGGATGGCTGCTATCCAAAAAGTCTACAAGCAATAAATGCTGGAGAGGGTGTGGAGAAAAGGGAACCCTCTTACCCTGTTGGTGGGAATGCAAACTAGTACAGCCACTATGGAAAACAGTGTGGAGATTTCTTAAAAAACTGGAAAAAGAACTGCCCTAAGATCCAGCAATCCCACTTCTGGGCATACACGCCGAGGAAACCAGATCTGAAAGAGACACGTGCACCCCAATGTTCATCGCAGCACCGTTTATAATAGGCAGGACATGGAAGTAACCTAGATGCCCGTCAGCAGACGAATGGATAAGGCAGCTGTGGTACATATACACCATGGAATCTTACTCAGCCATTAAAAAGAATTCATTTGAATCAGTTCTAAAGAGATGGATGAAACTGGTGCCCGTTATACAGACTGAAGTAAGCCAGAAAGATAAAGACCATTACAGGCTACTAACACATATACACGGAATTGAGAAAGATGGTAACGATAACCCTATTTGCAAAACAGAAAAAGACACACAGATGTATAGAACAGACTTTTGGACTCTGTGGGAGAAGGCGCGGGTGGGATGTTTCAAGAGAACAGCATCGAAACGTGTATATATAATCTAGGGTGAAAGAGATCACCAGCCCAGGTTGGATGCAGGAGACAAGTGCTCGGACCTGGTGCACTGGGAAGAGCCAAAGGGATCGGGTCGAGACGGAGGTGGGAGGGGGGATCGGGATGGGAAATACATGTAAATCCATGGCTAATTCATGTCAATGTATGACAAAAAAATTTGTAAAGTCATTAGCCTCCAACTAATAAAAATAAATGAAAAAAAAAAAAAAAACAACAGGGATTCATTGAGCTGCATGGGAGATGAATTCTGTCATTAGAAACTATGCCACCAGGCTTAAGAAATATATTTAGAACTCATTTCTTTCCGGAAACAGGTTTCAAGATCTCCATAAGAAGTCTTTTATTAAGATAAATCACAGCTTTGTCAGTTTCTCCAGAAGTACCCTATTTTTAATTCCCAAGGAGACTGGCAATAATAAAACTAAATTAACCGAGTAGGTTATTTTCTCTCTAATGGCCCCTGTCTTGATTAAGAGGATTCCGGTCGACGTATTTCCTGGGCTTCGCTGGTGGCTCAGGTGGTAAAGAATCTGTCTGCAATGCAGGAGACCTGGGTTTCATGCCTGGGTTGAGAAGATCGCCTGCAGAAGGGAATGGCCACCTCTTCCAGTATTCTTGCCTAGAGAATTCCACGGACAGAGGAACTGGGAAGGCCACAGTCCATGGAGTCACAAAGAGTCGGACACCGCTGAGCAACTAATACACATATTTTCTTACCATTTGCTTAGCAGAAGCAATCATTCATAGCATTTTATAGCACTTTCTAAAGAACATTTTGTGCCTTTTTTCTCTTTTGTAAGCTGCACCAGGTCTTGGTTGCCACACATGGGATCTTTCATTGTGGCGTGCAAACTCTTCCTTGCAGTGAATGGGATCTAGTTCACTGACCAGAGATTGAACCCAGGCCCCTGCATTGGGAGCAGCCACTGGATCGCCAGGGAAGCCCTCTAAAGAACTCTTAAAGTGAAACTTTTTGGATGTTCGCAGCAGCTCTGGGCAGTCCTAGTGATGATACTTGTTCTGCACTCTTGAGCCCGTGACCTCCCTGAGGGACACAGGGGCCAAGCGAGCAGATGCTACCCCAGCGCCAGACCGCAGGGCCAGACTGGCAGTGTAAACTCCCTTCCAGTGATGTCCTCTTTTTACTGTTCCTCTGGTCAATTCAGTACTGTTTTCCTTGGAGCATGTGTTTAAAAGGAAATCCTAGATGTGTTCAAACATTACTGCCCACTTTCAGATGGATTGATATCTACCTAGGACTTGGCTATTAAACCCACCTGCCTGAGTACTGTGACTTGATTGGAGTTTTCTTGAAGTCACTCCTGAAGCACTGTGATGGCTTTGTCTAACATTAATAGATTTTTAAAAATGATATGTGTTGGGGAATGGCTATGAAAAAAGGGGAGAATCTGTTGCTACTGCAAACCAATTAAGGAGGCAACTTAAAAAGGAAATCTGAATTGTAACTATGTTTCTATTCCTATAAAATACTGTCCTTACCTTGCAGTCTGTAGTTGATGTGCCCAGACACAGTAGTGGCTCTCGGGTTGCTCTTCTGACATCTTCCTGTCTCCTTCAGTCCCTGCATGCGTATAGGAACTTCAGTGAGATAATGGGGCATTTAACAGAGATTGTTCTGTGCAATACTGTATTTAGTGTTTCTATTTTAAAGTTTCTAGGATGTTAATTTACATGCAAATAAAATACATAATAAGAGAGTTCTCTGCCTATTGTGTCTATATGACCTAAAAGTAAATGCAAAATATTTATCCCAGAGGGAAAATAAGTTAGAGCGTCTGTGTTCAAAGATTTTCGAAAGTTCTTATCTCAGGCCGAACCGTTGCTGGTGAACAGTGAAAGTCGCTCTGTCATGTCTGACTCTGCAAACGCATGGACTGTACAGTCCATGGAATTCCCCAGGCCAGAATACTAGAGTGGGTAGCCGTTTCCCTTCTCCAGGGGGTCTTTGCAACCCAGGGATCGAACCCAGGTCTCCTGCACTGCAGGTGGATTCCTCACCAGCTGAGCCACCAGGGAAGCCTGAACAGTTCTTGGCAGTTAAGGATTTAACAAATGCTAGAGTGTAAAGACAAAATAATAATTCTGCTACAGTAAAACACACTTTCTTAAGTGCAAATCTTCTCAATGCAGTTTTAGGGAAGAAGTATTTCCCCCTTATGGAAATATCAGTATGTTAATACCTAAGAAGTCCTTTTACGAAAAGTTGCAAAAATTCATATGATGTAGATTAAATGGTGATAAAAATTGAGTTGATCTCAGTGAGGCAGCAGTGAGTGGTGGCGTGAAGTGAGATCTAATTTGCTGCCCAGGAACTGAACCTGGGTAGCCTGAATGAAAACCAGGAATCCTAGCCACCAGACCAGCAAGGGCTAGAGGCTAGAAGCCAAGTTTCCCTGGATCTTTGACCAGTGAAAAATGCATTCATCATGGAGGCAGAATCGCTACATGCAGGTACAATGTTTATTATCAGAGACACAGCACAGCAACACGTGGGAAAGAACACGGAGGAAGAGCTGGTCTAGTTCCGACAGAAGCAAAGCAGAGACACACACCTGGAGAGAAAGGTTATGGGCGCCCCCTGGTGAGAAGGAGCACAATAACCACGAGGTGGTGAAGTCCTTTATATAGGCCAGTTCTTCTGGGTCTTTGTCTTCCTTCCTGCCAAGTTTCTGGTTCCTTTCTTCACATCTGACATATCCTGGGCCTCTGCCCTGGTGTGCACATACCCCTCAGCCAAGATGGATCTCCAAGTGGAGGCTTCTGGGAGAAGCAAGGCTCATCATGGTCTGGCATTTTCGCGGGACTTTTCACCCACAAGGAGCCTCTCTGCACGTGTGTTGTGTTTCCCTTCTCCCACAAGGGGGGTGGGGGGAGGGGAGATCTCTTCATCCTTGACTCAAGCAGGGTTTTGTCCCTCTTTGCCCTTGTCATGGCTACTAAAGTGTTCATAAGAGACAGACACTGGCTATTTACCCTCTTTCTGTTGTTACTTCCATTTCACAGGGCAAGCAGGACACTGACTGTAAAGGCTCAACTGGAGCCCAACCATCTCTTGCCTCAAGAAATGTAAACAGGCTAGATGTAAATGCCTAACGTGGAGTCCATCTGTCTCCTCCAGG